TATGGTTGGCTGATGACGGCTAATAAGCCAGAAACGGTCATTCCAGTTTCCCTTGTCTTTGGCCGTAATGTCTTGCTGTCTATGCTAGGCGTTGAGTGGCTGCTGGCGGGGCTTCAGACTGAGTCGCCAAGCACCGTGGAACGATCGGTTAGCACCCCTCTACCGCCATTAATGTACCCGTAGCTCGATGGTTGGGATGGTGGACTTCTGACCACGGATTCCATCCTCGGATGTCACAGCACATGGAATTGGTTATGACTAGCTTATGACGGCTTATAAGCCAGAAATGTTTATTTCCCTTGCCTTTGTCGGTTCCACAATTTGCTATGCGACTGTCTGCAAGGGCTCTAAAGTGAGCTCCAAGGCAAAACGGGACATTCAAGTTTCGTAACCAAATCATACATATATGGGAGATGTACAAAATGCAGTTAACTTTGAGTCCTGCTTAATATAAGACTCTGCGATTGGCCAAAGCGTAAGTTAATAGGCATCCGCTACATTCAGTTATCCAGTGGATATTGACTGTTTAGATTCTGATTCGCCAACCGCGTCACCTCTTTCCGACAACTGTGCCCCAAGTCTTTTTCGCCTATAGAGTCCCAGTTGATGGGTAAAACCAGTGAGAATCGATGAACTTGTCTCTACCAGCAGTGGCTGCAAAATTGGTCCAAGAAAGTGGGTTGCCCGTTAGCCTAGCCGCTGGCTACCCAGCGCATCCACGCGTGGCGGATAGTGGAATGACCTTCAGTGAAGGTTAACTGGGAAATAAACAGACTCTCGGCTCTGACGAATAAGCAGTCGCGGACCAACAGCAGGCTGAGGTCTGGCACACCAAAAGCCTACAAAAAGTGGCAAAGCCTGACGACGGCACCGTGGCATGGTAATCGCGAAACGCCATTAAAAAGTTCACTAGTCGCCTCTGGCTTGTGGTTAAGCTATTGAGCCAAAGTGCTAGAGTAGACAACTTTGAACAAACAATGCAAGCAGCTGTTAAGAATCCGTCCGTACTCGCAATTCCCAAGACAGCTCATTAAAAACTATGTGACAGCCCGTCAGGACATGGACGTGGTTCTTACACCTTCCGGCGCTGGCAAAGAGAATGGGTTGAACTGTCCAGGTCTGCTGCCCCGGATCATCACGCGCGCAGTATTACCATTCCAGACGTAATCGAGGCCGGCTGGACTGGCATGATAGCAAACACAATAAGTACAAATAAGTCCACTAGAGACCAGTGTGAGACCGATACGTACAAGGCACGTTCGTCGCAAGCAAACGCAACATCAAGCCGACCTTTCTGGCCCGGTTGGAGTGAATCTTCTCCAACATCAAATTTATCACAGAAGTCAACAATTCGTTGTCTCTGCTTGACGTACGAGTTGTAAAGATGGCTGACAAGAAAATAATAACTACGGTCTAGCTTAAAACAGTAAATATTAAACGCAGTCTTCAACCCAAAAGCAATCATCCCGTTAG